ACATGTTCTTCATGACTGTATTCATCACCATCTTCGTCAGCAGCAACATCGTCGTCATCGCCAGCATGACGTTGACCATTCACCATCATCCTCCTCATCCTCATCATCAGCATCACCGTCGATGTTGTCATCACCATCCAGCAACACGATCACCACGATTGTCGCCGTCAGCATCAGCGCCTTAATATGCATCAGCAGTAGCAAACTAGCAGCGACCCACCCGGGTGAATTTGTTGCCGGATTCTCAATACATGCTTCTTTACAGCTGCGGTACAGTACAGACCGGTTTCGCACTGCCCGCGCTGTCCACTCATCGCGAGCGGCTCCAGCACTTTGTCGAGCGGTCTTATAGATAGTCTGGTTAGTTGGTTGTTTGTCTCTTCGGTCGGTCGTGCTGGAGCGCAGGCTGGAAGACTTCATTCTTTCTGTCTGCCCTTACGGTAACATGAACAGTCATGAACTCTAAACACTAACGGGATCGATAGCACGGATAGCATCAATGACGACAGTAACGTAAGCACAAACCAACGCTGATTGGTGTCAGCGTATGTCAGAATCGTGGTACGTGGGTCACGGTACTTGAGGTTAGGGAGAACGCAGCGTGAACTTGATAGCGATGTTTCCAGGCCGGGCCCGAGCCTTTGCGCAACGAGGGGCAGCAAATGCTCTTCAAGCCGCCGGCCTGGAATTCAAGGGGGTTAGAGATGGTTAGGGTTTGAAGGCATGTTCCGGAGATAGCAGGGGCACAGTGCTCCAGTTTATGTCAGGCTGTCAATGTCCACAACGCAGCTGGGAGGCAGGTGGTGTTAAACAGAGTCACGAAACGGAGGAAAGTCGTTGTCGCCTTTTGTTGTTAGAGCTTGGCTGGACTGCCACAGGAAAGCACTGGAAGGGCGTGAAGTCCAAAGTGGCTCGCGGGGCAGGAAGCATGCCCGGTTCCCCAAACTTCCGCCGGAGGCTTGGTCAGTACTTCGTGTTGGCGAGAGGGTTGCCGCAACAGGAGAGAGCAGACGGTGGAAGTGATGCCGCCTCGACGACGACGATGGCGAAGGTGACGACTACGACGGCCACGGCGATGGCGACGGCGCCGACGCTATGCGACGCTCAGCACATAAAAAATGCTCCGCGTAATGATCCGAAAATCCCGGCCTTTGCATCTTGTTCTGCGGTCCGCTGTTACATACCCAACAGAGTGGATGCGGCGGGTTTCCCAAGTGGGATCTGAATGTTTATGTGACATATTGAGACCCCAAAGAAGCGCCTGCGACGACGACTTTGGCGACGACGGGGAGGACGACAGACGACGAATTCGACTGCGACGACGACGATGACGACGACGGTGACGGCGACAACGGTTGCAGCTAGGACGACTGCTACGACTGCAGCAACGAAAAAGATGACGGCCCCGACAGCGGTTCGACCCTTTTGACGACGACTGGTACTGATAAGTACTGCTGTAGCTGTGTGCTTCCTTCTGTGACCTATGACATCTGAAGACTCTCAGGACCCAACCTGACATGGCTCGAGCAGATTTCCTTGGCCCGTGCGCCGAAAACGCCAGGCATGGAAGGCTTCAAGTGTCACGCAAATAACGACACTGCGCCATGCATCACACTATATCACACTCATAAGTTTAGACATGATCTTAATCACGGATCTGATTCAGCAGTTTGGTGTGGGGATCATGACGTAGGATTCCTTTTGGTAAACACTATTGCAGATAGTGACAGTGTTCAATTGTCGCGATCATTCCTGCTTGCCATGGCTACCCCAATGGTTTTGGCAGCACGTACTCGTGGCGTCACGGAGAAGTCTTAAGGCTATCACATGTTATCACGAATGACAGAACTTCTTTCTCTTGGGAATGCGGGTTGCCGCATCATGAGCAATGAGAAGAAATTAAGAAATCCGTGAGTTTAAGCAAACACACACACACGCACACACACACACACACACACACACACACACACACACACACACACACACACACACACACACACACACTAGCCATAGCAAAAGTTGTAGCATCGCCGGGCATGTATCAGTCATCACTAGCAACACGGATGAAGTTGTGGCTGTACACATTTCGTAGAACGCGTATAGGCACGACATACATGTTGAATACTTTGGGGTATGCTCAGCAAAATTTTCCTTATGCTTGGTTTACACACGAGAGAGCATTCTGCTTTAAAGGCGCGCGAGTTCTCGGAGCGGTGTTTGTGTCAGTCCTAGGGTAGTGAGAGGAAGCAAGAATGACTAGTTCAGTAGTAGTAGTAGTAGTAGTAGTAGTAGTAGTAGTAGTAGTAGTAGTAGTAGTAGTAGTAGTACTAGTTAGATAAACGGCTCGGATACCAGGCGGAAATGATGAAACTTTTGGGGTTGAGGGTTCAGGGTTTCGGGCTTTGGTGCTCATTACGTTCTAGGATATGGGATACCGGGTGCAAGCTCTGTCGGGCTTAGGGTTTAGGCTGAGGTTCACAATCAACCCACCCCGCGTTCAGCTTAGATGCAGGGTTAGGCATTCTCTTGCTGATTGCAGGGAGGATGAGCTAAGAGCAGAAAGCATGACACACCTTTCAAACCAACATGCATGTGTTCTGTCCCACACACATACGTGCATGCCTACAGTTAGCTACATACATTTGTACATACACGGAGACACAAGTATACGGACATGCATATACAATTGCTTGCGTACTTGCCTACTTACGTACATACATACCTACGTACATACGTACATGCATACACCCGTACATATATATATATATATACCTACATACAGACATACATGCATACATACATAATATGCGCATGCACACAGACGCAAGCATACATCCATACTTACATGCGTACTTGCAAAGTTACCTAAAAAATCATGCATACACACATATACATACATACATGCGTACATACTTACATACGGTGACGTTTTTTAAATATATGGGGGCCCGGCCAGCCGCACTGGCCGCAGAGGTAGTAGAAAATATTTGTTTAAATCCGTTTATTTAAATCCCAGTATGACGTGATCTAGCCTTCAGTCTTAAAAAGGTGAAGGCTGGAATGCTGGAGGGTTGAAGGCTGGAAGGGGTTTAGGGCTTGAGGGGTTGAAGGCTGGAGGGCTGGAGACTGCAAGGGAGGGCTCCAGCCCGCCCTCCCGCCTTGCAGCCTTCCTACCTGTCCTCCAGCCTTCCAGCCTTCCTCCAGCCCTTCCAGCCTTCCTCCAGCCCTCCAGCCTTCCAGCTTTCCAGCCTTTCCCCAGCCCAGCCCTCCAGCCTTCCAGCCTCCGCCTTCCAGCCCTCCAGCCCTCCAGCCTTCCAGCCTTCCAGCTCCAGCCGTCCAGCCTTCCAGCCTTCCTCCAGCCCCAGCCCAGCCCTCCAGCAGCCTTCCTCCAACCTTCTGCCTTCAACCCTTCCAGCCTTCCAGGCTTCCAACGCTCCAATGGTTGCGGGCGCGGCATTTAACAGGGTCAGGAAGGGTTGGCGGGCTGGAAGGCTGGAGGGAGGCTGGAGACTGAAGGCTGGAAGGCTGGAAGGCTGGAGGGCTGGAGGGCTGGAAGGCAGGAAGGCTGGAAGGCTGGAAGGCTGGGCTGGAGGGCGCTGGAGGGCTGGAGGGCTGGGCTGGGTTTGGAAAACTGGAAGGCTCAAAAGGCTGGGCTAAAGGAAGGCTGGCTGGAGGGCTGGGGCTTGGGGCTGGAGGAAGGCTGGAAGGCTTGAGCAAGGCTGGAGGGCTGGCTCGGTTTGGCTTGAACCTAAAACTCCAAGGTTTGGCTTCTACCTGAACCCTAAACCCTTAAACCCTAAACCCCATAATCCTAAACCCCAAACCCACCAATCATCTGCCAATCTCCGGATATTTTATTTCGAGGCGGGCCCGGGCGATGTTTCACGGAGGTAGTGTAATGTACCTGGTTAACCTATTTAAATATCCGTGTATTTAAAAACAGACACCATACAAACACACATACTTACATCCGTGGACACATAGCCATACAGACATACATGCACACATACATATGTACCTACACGGAGACACAAATATGGACATACATACATACTTACTTGCTTGCGTACTTGCATACTGGCGTACTTTAATGCATGCGTGCAGACGTACTTACAAGCATACATGCAAGCATGCATACATACATACATGCATACAAAGATACATCCGTACATACATACTTACATACATAGCTACATACTTATGTACACACACAGACAAGACCAGACAAGCATGCGTACATATATACATACATCCATACATATAAATGTACATGCATACGTGCTGACGTACTTACATACGTACGTTTAAACATAATACCTACATACAGACATACGTACATGCATACATACATGTGCGCATACATACATACATCAACGTGCGAGTGCACGATAGCTTATGCGTGCATGCGCCCGCCTGTGAAATATCGTAGTATACAGTATGTAAGCAGCATCGCAAGACCCCGCGATCCCAATGCAGCTACCCAAACTGCTTCTGCCACAGCCATCCCTACTATTTCCACCAGAGGCATCAGCACTTTCACCACCACTGTTGGTCCAGCTGAGCTTTTTCTGCAGCTGCGGTGGCAGCTAATATTCATGTTCATTATGACTCTTTTGCTGTTACTATTACTGCTTTTGCTTCTCCTGCTCGTGCATATGCTTCCCTGCGTAAATCGAAAAACACTGAAAAAGCTGAAAAAGTCTCTTGATGTCTTGGTGCTTCGTGAGTTCTTGTGAGTTGTAGCCAGTTAACACCTGCCATGCGATGTCACCGCGTCGTAGATGTTTGAAAGTTTTTCTTGTCTTGCCAGGGCTGACGTCTTCGGCTTCCGCGCCCTCTCTACCAAAGCTGACAAGCACTCGGGGTTTTGATGTTTCATGCTTCACTTTCTGAGCAGCAGGTCTTGATAGAAGTTTCGGTCGCTGATGAACTGATGAACACCTTTGAACTGTAGATTCCATGCACCCAGACCCAGAACCTCTGCTTTTCACAATCTGCTAATGATTTACCGAGAACCGGTAGCCCCTAGCCCATCTTGTAAGCAGAGGGCAGCGAGCGCTTTGCATGTTGGGTACATCCGATTTAGGCCTGGGAGGGCTTCTACTTCGCCTGCCGGCACCCGGAAGCCCCGCCGCGGCCGCAGCAGAGGGGCCATCGGAAAGCTAATCGCATTGCTGCTAGATGGCAGATTTAGTTTTGCGAGCAATGCAGTAACTTAGCTTCAAACCGGGCTACTTTACACACCACGATAAGCCCAGCAGAAGGCTTGTTGTTTCTCTTGCAATCTTGCAACCATCTCCTGGTTGCAAGCGTTAACACTTGCAGACCTCAAGTCTGTTGCAGCCGTATGATCTGAACGCTCGTAGATACATTGATGCAGTGACCAAGTCGCTGCCTCAATGTAGAAAACAAGCATGCAAAGGCTTGGGCAGGGGAAAGGCGTTCGAACTCGAAGGTTTGAAAGTTTGGAGGTTGAAGATTGAAAGTTTCAAGATTTGAAGGTTCGACAAGTGCGGGAGTTCGAAAGTTTGTGCACCTTGACATGCACAAGCTAGCCGGCGTCAAACTTCGAACTTTTCAAACTAGAAGCTTTCCAACTTTCAATCTCTCTAACTCTCGAACTTTCGAGCTCGACTGGCTGCTTCAAACTAAAACTTCGAACTTTTGCTGCGGTCGAGTGCGATCGGCCTTCGAGGTTTGAGAGTTTGAGACTTTGAAAATTTGCACTTTCGAAGATTCGACGGTTTCAAGACTTGAAAGTTCGAAAGTTTGGAAGGTTTGGAGTTTGAAAGGTTGGCTTCAGAATCGGTCGGCGGCTTGTGGCTGAGGTCGCGAGTTTAGAGTTCGAAGGTTTCAAGCTTCGAAAGGTTTCGAGTTCGAAGGTTTGAATGTGTCAGAGATCGAAAGTTTGAAGGGGATGAAAGCTCGCGAGTTTGAGAGTTCGAAAGATTAAAAGTTTGGCAAAGTTTGAAGGATTGAAACGTGTCGAGATGGACACTTCGAAAGTCCGCCGAGTTTCGAGCTCGAAAATTTGCCAGTTCGAGATTCAAGCGTTTAGGAGTTTGAAGGGCCCGGCATGCGGCCACGCGTATGGATGCTGTTCGCAAGCGGAATTTTATATCTCAAAAACGCCTTCTCTTTTGGCGATTCCGGTCCACCGTATATCTTAAGCATCCACCCTCATTTGGCGATTCCTGTCATCATAGCGCCTCACCACATACACGTATCTGAATTACGCGCCCGTTTGGCGATTCCGGGACATCGTATATCTTAAACACACCCCTTCAGTTGGCGGTCTTAAACACCCCCTCATTTAGCGTTTCGGTTCATCGTATCACGCTTCCTGATATGGCGCTTTCGGTTAATTATATATGTGCAACACGCCTTCTCTTTTGGCGATTTCCGTTCACAGTATATCTCAAGCACGCACCCTCATTTGGTGATTTCGGTTCATCACATTTATCTTAGACACGCCCCGTCATTTGGCGGTTCCGAACATCATACCGGTTCGCCATATATCTTAAGCACACCGGCTCAGGAGGCAGCAATAGTAGTAGTAGTAGTAGTAGTTGTAGTAGTAGTAGTTGTAGTAGTAGTAGTAGTTGTAGTAGTAGTAGTAGTAGAAGTAGAAGTAGTAGTAGTAGTAGTAGTAGTCGTCGTAGTCTTAGTCGTAGTTTGTTTCGGGCATCGGCATGTGTCTATTGCGAGATCACACAGGACAGGGGGTACGGTTCATTACAGGCATCGTCGCGTGTATCATGTCAGATCCAGATCACACATCACAGGGGGCACGATTTGTTGCTGGCATCGGCCTGTGTATGTTGCGAGATCACACATCCCATGTTTGTTGTGAAATCACACATCACGGGGGGGGGGGTGCGATTTGTACGGGCATCGGCGTGTGTCGGTTGTGTGTTGTGAGATCACAGGGGGTGCGATTTGTTACGGGCATCGGCATGTGTATGTTGTGAGCACATGACAGGGCGTACGATTTGTTACGAGCATCGGCGTGTGCATCGAGCCCAGGAGGTAAAATAAGGACGTGAGCATGGTTTCAGACTCAAACTTTCAATGCATTCAATCTTCAAACTCTTCCAACTCACTAACCTACAAACTCTCAAAATTGAAAATGTCAATCATTCGAGCTCAACGGCTCTCAAACCTTCAAACCTTCGAAGATTGAAAATTTCAAACCTTCAACCCCGCAAAGCTTGAAACTTGTCGAACTTTCAATGTTTGTTCCTTTCGAACTTTCTAACTTTCAAACTCCCGGGGTTTCATTTTTTTTCAAGCTGCAAGCTCTCAATCTTTCGAACTCGAGCCTGAGGGCTGCTCCGTGAACACCTACACGTCCTCCAGCGGCTCCCTCGCGCAACGCGTTGCCGCGGCTTCAACCTTACAAGCTGGATTCCCATTCGAACTTTCAAACTCCAAACACGCGCCGAGTTTCAATCTCTCAAAATTTCTGGCTTCAAACTCTTTATTCTCCTGTTCAAACTCGCCAATCTCGTCCAACATATAAGACGTTCAAACGCTCGCTCAGAAATTAGAGTTCGAAAAGCCGCCGAGAGACACCGGGGGAAAGGGGGGCCTGGTGGCAACGTGGATTTCAGCATAGCATTGAACATGCCCAGCGACTGTGGAAAATGCATCAAACTTCACAAAAGGTTTTGGTGTTCAAGGATAGCAGACCCGCATTGGAATGTGCAAGGCAATTGGTCCGCGTGTTCAGTATCAGAGATTGTTTACCGCATCCATATGGGCAACGCAAAGGCAGCACGATGCTCCATTGTGTTCCTGACTCTCCCTTCAAACTGGATGCAAATCACAGGGCAACACAGTGTTGTTCACTTTCGTCCAGCTTTCCGTGCTGTAGGGTTGTGTGCTCGATCAATTTGCCGGAGTTGTGACTGTCTGGACAAGAAGAAAAGAAGAAAGATTTTGCAAGACATTATTAATCGAGCTATAGGGCGGATTATGCCAGCGACTGTTTGGTTGTCCGGCGGCCGGTCTTCGTTCCCCTTTTGTTTCAACTTGGGGACGCTCCCCTTCCAACGCAGACAGTCACAGAATCAGGCTGAGGCTTAGCTTCGTGCTTGAATTTGGAAATCGATTGGGGTGGGCTCGGTGGGGCAGAAGAAACCCACCGCATGGAAATCTCTAACTCTTTGACAGTGTCCCATGAGCCGACTTAGTGTGCGGGTTTTCTGATGATTGCTGCGACCTGGCAGACTTGGCATCATAGTTACGTGTTGAGACATCACACGCCCCAAGGCAGCATGACATTGGATCCCTTGCCGGCCCCGCTGATGGCTATGAGCCCGGAAGAGTATGGTGCAGTTGAATATTTCGATCCGGGCTACAAGGGTCAATAAGGGACTGAGCAGGTTGCTCAGTCGGCAAATGAGGAAGAAACCTCGCTTGTACTCACTCCTTTGCACAGGCGTTGTCCTTTGTGAAGTCTTCAAATCCTACCTTGGCCTCATTGAATATGCATCGTCGCACCCTTTGTCCAGAATTCCCGTTTGACTTTAAGCCCGATGTCGCCGAACATACTTACCGTTTGATTGCCAGGTAGTTTGGGAAGAATATCCGAAGTTGAACCAAACATGCGACTCCCCGGAGTTCTTGACCACCTTGCCCTCGGGCACTCCTGTAAGCTTCTTCAGAGTCCTGCGCAGCAGCTTTTTCAGGGACATCGCAGCTTGGTGTCAGTATCTGTTTGAGCTTTCAGTTCTGCACATGGGCTGTTCTCTAGCGGCTACTTGAAGGATCGTGTCGTTTACTATTTGGATATGCCAGTTGAAGAAGATATTATGTTGGCTAACTGAAGATATAAGTTTTGTAAATCAAGTTATAACTCCTTCAAGTTTGGTAAGTGATTTATATATCATAGTAAGTGCAATCAAGCACATATAAATATTTGTCATGGTTAGTTTTCAAATACAACATTTAGGTAAATGGTTCATAAGTAATTAGTAAATGATTATGCATGAAATATATTTATTTGGATGACAACTTATAAGTCAAGTAAGTGGATTTATGCTGTGTTGAAAAGACACAGGAAAGCTGGCCAGACAAAGAGCAAACTTGCATGAAACACGTGCGAGAGCGGCATTTGGAGACATGCGACAGACTGCTTGCATGCATGGGTGCTGCATATATCATGCAAACATGATCGTCGGCAGGGCAATGCTCGTCGGCAGAATCATGTGCATGCTCCTCATGATTCATGAATCACATGCACTTTATATTCATGGCACATCAGCTGCTCAAGTGTGTCCGCACGGTTTTCGGTGTTTGCCATCCAGCTGGTGCGATGGATGCCGCTCTTCTCGCAAGGTGCGAGAGCATCCTTGACTCCGCCAAGGACGGCGAGGGGCTCGTGAAGAATGTTCACGAGTGCCTCACACTCTTGGAGTCCCGGGGGCTGCTGTACAAAATGGCTTTGCACCCGTCGATGATCGGCATATCGCCGCTCAACCGCGACGGGAGCGGCGTGAATGCCGTGGACGTCCACGATTTGCTTTCGGATATCTTGGCCGCAGGCTTTCTCGAGGACCGGGTCTCCGCGATCGGGGTGGAGGTGCAGTCTGCAGCCGAAGTGACTTGGAACGTGGAGTTCTTCAAAGCCACACACGGAATGCTGGGTACCTTTGACCCCAGCGCCATCAAGTGTCTAAGCTTGGCTGGCTCGCACACAAATTGTGTGTTGCGGATCCTGTCCCAAGAGATCCAGCACGAGGGAGACGAGAGCATTTGTCACGATGGACGTCTCAACATGGAACTGCTCCGCAAGAAGGATGAAAGCTTTTACAAAGCCGCCCGAAATGGGGTGACGTGGAAAGTTATCACCAAGGAAGCTGCAGCAAGTCTGCCACATCTGATGTCGATGGTACAAAGAATGGGAAACGCCACTCTTCAACGCCACGAACACGAGTTGCAGCTGATGCGTCGCCTACACGGCATGTGGATGCTCGAAGCAACCCAGCACCAACACGTTGACTTCATGACGATCAAGAAGCGAGTGACGACCGGAAAGACTGTGCATCACAAGTCTCTTCCACACCTCTACACTTTCGCCTTGAAGTTCGGGGGCGGTCGCATCCCGTTCTTGTTGGACGAGACGGAATCCTTCGTGAGGCGTCACAGCCCCAGCACTCGGAGCCTAGGTGCTGAGTTCTGGGACAAGATTTCCCAGGAGGTGAAGGGCACAAACCAATTCCCCAGGGCCAGGCATGCACTTGCCCCGTGATTCCGAAACAGAACATGTTGAGCTTTGTTGTTGCATGTTGCACACATTTTCACATATATGTTTATCTGACATTTAATTTCGAGAAGCCCAGGTGAAGCTCGCATATGCCAAAGAGATTGCTCAGGCAGCTGATGTCAAGAGGCTGTTACACAAAGACCTCCTGAGCGAGGTTCGCACGGCGGACGGGTTCATGCATCAGTGGCGATCGTTGGTAGAGAAGCTCCCAGAAGGCACGGATCTTCTGAGAATGCCCGAGCTTTCCACAGCTCTCAGCTTGGCAGACATTCATCTCATCGGTTTCGTGTTGAAGATGCCACTGGAAGTGAAGCAGTACACTTCGAAAGAGGCCCTGGCACACGATGTGGTTGTGATCATGCGAGGCATCTGCCACCGGCACATCGAATCGCCATGGGAGCAGCATGCCATGACAGTGCAAAGCGAGTCGGGTAGTAGCCCAAGCCCAAAAGTCACGACGATGCGGGAACTCAATCCCGATGGGACCGTGAAGGATGGCCTGACCCTTCTGCAAGATGCAGGCTTCACCATCGGATCGTTCTGTAGGAGGAAGAGCGATGGCCAGTCCGGCCAGATCGCGGGGTGCCAAGCTGGGAAGGTTCAGCTCAAGCAGATCGATGGCACTCTAGGCAAAGTCGTGATGGATGTGTTTCTGAGTGGAGATTGGGTGACCTACACTCCCAAGCCCGAGCCGGTGCTTCTCAAAGACATCTTGCAGTATGCCCCAAGCAAGCATCCTGATCTTGAAAAGCAGCGAATGCAAGCCATGATCACACTCGACATGTTGGAGTTGCAGGCTAAGCATGAAGCAAACACTATGCTTTCACGGCTTGAGATGCACTTGAAGCCGCAGAAGAAGGTCTTAGCCGTGAGCAAGATTCCCAAGAACAAGTTGATCGTGGTTCCGTGCTCTCTCCAGGTGAAGAGTGGCACGAAGCTGCCGGATGATTGCATCGAGATCATGCAGCCTTTGGCAGGGGTTCACTTTTGGTCCCAGCCCATGTTGATGCTGCCCAAGGCCGAAGGGGACCCCGGGTTTGCCAACCCGGCTTTCATGGTGCAGACCACACACGACGAGGAGGTCGGCAACATGGAGCTCTCTTACATCAAGAGTCACAGGGACAGCAAGGTGCACTTGCCGGTCCTGAAGAATCCACGGGAAATCGCAGAGGGTGAGAGCCTTTTCATTTACAAGCCCAAGGTTGAAAAGCAGGTTGTGCCTCTGGATGCAGATTCCCCGAACCGACCCGGGAAGAGACTCCGCACTAAGGGTCCGGGACAGTGAGGCATGCACATCTCATGCACATGCACAGGAGGTTTCGTGGAAGCATTGGCACTTGCATGCATGCAGCCTCTGTGCTGGCACTGGCATAGATATCGATTCTGAGCGCCTGGCAGGATGGGTGCTTTCGAGCATCAGTGCAAAATGCTGCATGTGCAAACTTTGCTTCAGCTGCTCTTCGTAGTTGGCACATGACAGTGCCCAGTCAGTTTTGAAGTGTTCGTGCATGCCTGAGTGAATCGGTGCAAGAACTCGGATGTTGCCGGTTGCTGTGTAGCTCATGAGCTCTCGAGTCCTATAGAGATTGTTCCACGGACATGGCATCTGGTTCCGAACACGAAGAAGATGCTGGGCTGCGACTTTGCACAAAGACTGTGGTTTGGCTCCGGCAGACCCACAGCATATCACATGCACCATCATGCACATGCCACGATGGTTTTTGGGGAAGCATTGGCACATGCATGCATATATGCTTGCTTGGGCCACACAACGATCTTCATGACACCGCGAGGATGGCAGCATTGCAGCATGCAGCTGTGCAAAAAATGCCATTCGTGATCGCTGTTGTGGTGTGCTGTCATTGGCAAAGCCGCATTCACTTGAGGTGCTTGCATGTGCATGAGCGAATCCTTGCATGACATGTTACAGCTTGTATGTGTAGTTGAGCTCTTGTGTGCACACACCTCCCGTCGACATGGCTGATGATTCTGAACATGAAGATGACCGTGACGTTCGACTATGCACAAAGACCGTGGTCATGTATGGGAAGGGCGAGCAGTGGATCCCGACTCAGAAGAACGAAGAGGGCATGGTGTGGTTTTCGGTGAACGGCAGGTGGGACAGAGGCTTCACGAAATTTGTGTTCGGCAAGGCCCTAGATCTCCGGAAGGACAAGGATAGCCGGTCGTTAAACAGCAAATTCTTCGATGACTTGATGACCCAGAGACAGACGACATTCAACGAAGTCATCCAAAAGCGCCTGCAAAGCGAAGACGACGACCAAGAGGACACCCCGCCCCAAAACAAGAAGGTCTTCAAGAGTTTCAAAGCCACAGCTGCCAAACATCAACAATATGCCCCGTATTACATCGACATGCAGTTGCCTGCCATCGAGGAAGGTGGCCCGACTCCCACAGCAAAGGTTCTCTTCGAAGGGCTTGGCAGTCATACTTTGTGGTTTGAACTTACAGAGGCGAACTTGCGACACTTGAAAGCTGGCTTTGTGAACTCGGAGAGCAAGGACCGGCAGCCCCGAGGAGCCAAGAGAAAGAAAGAGATATAGGCGGCTAGCTTTTTCGCCGGCAGGGCAATGCTCGTCGGCAGAGAACATATAAGCACGAACATGATGCAATCCCGACTCGTAGCTCATGTGCATGCTGGAAATCAAGAAAAGTGCTGCTGTCTTTTCTATGTTTTTCTATATTCATAGAAAGAAAAGTCTTTATATCACCAGCTCCATGTCAGCAGTTGGGTTTATAGGGGGGTTGTGCTTGGTTTTGCGATTCGCAACTGTCCTGCAAGCTTGACTGATGGCTGTTGATCATGTCAGGATACAATGTCTTGTGCAATGCATGGTGCAGGCTCCGAGCTGGTTTTGTAGGCATGGCTTCGCCTGTTTTCCGAGGGCATGGTGTGCTGTGTGTATACATATACAGACACGTGCCACATGTGATAGATGATGCTCGCATGCCATCACAGCAATGCACCAGGCAATGCACACAGCAGTGCACTATATGCAATGCACATGCACATGTCATGCA